GGGGGCCGGGGTGAAATAAAAATAATACGGAGTACTATAATTCCTCAGTCCTAGCTATTGGATTTGGCTTAGTTCACGATAGGTGTAAAATAAGAAAAGTAAAATTGAAGTTTGTGTAGGTAAGAGAGAAATAAGTTGAATCACAAATTCACTGTTCTAAATGAAAAGTGACAAGGTTTTTTGAGCAAATGAAAAATAAAAGTTGGCAAAATACCACAGCAAATAATACATTATTATAATTTCTAAATCATAGCATCTTAATTATTATCTAGAAATTAACTATTGAAACAATGAAGAATAACATAGTGGGGGGAGCAAAAGTACAAAAAAAACTAATACTACTAATTTAAAAATGAAAAGCTGGGAGGGGCCATGGCCCCCCTAGCATAAGCTATAGCTCCGTCCCTGGACAAAACTGCTAAACTTGTTTACTTTGTTATTTGCAGGCTTATCACATTATTGTAAACCTTGTACTGAGATGATGAGTTTTCATTCTCCAGGACCAAATAAAGGAGATGTTTTAAGATTTATAAAACTGTTCATTTATATCCGGGCAAGTCACCTTCTATATGGAGCAAAGGAACACATTATGAAAATAATAATTGGGGAATAATGGCTCGCCCTAATAGGGTGTGCTGATGTATATTTATAATAAACGAGGAAAGATAAAATTACAAGTATGTCCTCTATTATATAGAATATTACACCATCTCAATCTGTGCAGGGGAAACAACACGCAGAATGGCACATAAACATTCAAAACGCTGACTAGATAAACTTTTAGTAAAAATATCAGCCAACTGCAATTGAGTAGGAACATATTTGACCACAAGATCCCCATGAGCCCCTCGTTCTCTGACAAAATGATAGTCGATCTTTATATGCTTTGATATGAAGCGGGAAGAGCATGGGGCGGGACCGGGCTTGGGCCCACTTCCATGGGCCGGTCACGGGCTGTTCTTATAGTTATTTATTATTTTAAGTTAATGTTATGTTTTGTTTTGGGCCTTTTATTAGTAGAGTACTTAGTAGAGTTAGTATGGGCCTAATTAGGATTTAAATAATTTGGGCTTGATTAGGGTTGCTTGTAAATGGCTATTTATACCCCTCGCCAGAGTTCATTCTCGTTATCTTGGAATAAAAGTTGGTTTAGCCTTTTGGCTCTGGGCAACGGTATTTATTTATCGTTGATTATATGGGCAACAGTTCACCCCGTTGATTTTATTTTTCTGTTCTTATCAATTGGTCCGACCTGCCGGATCCCGTCCCGCCAAGATGACCATAATTACAAAAATAATGAAAAACCTCAGATTTATGACGCATAGGATAAACCCAAGTATAGCGAGAAAAATCATCAATAAAAGAAACATAATATTTAAATCCAAGATTAGACAAAAACAGGCGGCTGCCAAACATCCTGAATGAATAACATCCTGAAACGGAAGTCGGTGGGATTTACCCAACTTACAAGAAACACAATCATGATGAAAATTACTAGAACTAGAAATAAAATGTTTTTGTTGAACCGTATGTACAACTCTACACCACAGTGCCCCAGACGTATGTGCCAGGTTGGACCAGGAATAAGGGTAGTCTGAAAAGCATGGAACGGATAAAGATGGTCTTTATTGAAAGCCTGAAGAAGATGCACCCACATCTGATTGTCATTAATAAAAAAGGAGTTTTAATAAAAATCACTGTACAATCATTATCCGCACACAGTTTATGAATAGATAACAAATTATATTTTAGATGTGGGAGATGATAAACGGAGTTTAATGACAACGGACGACCAGATGTATTTATTTTAACGTTACCAACATGAGAAATAGGTAATTTAGTTCCATTAGCAACTTGCACATTATTAGAGTCAGTGTAAGGAGATTTACTAGATAAAATACATTCATGAAGAGTCATATGAGCGGAGGCACCTGAGTCAGGATACCATACTGAAATGTTTGTCTCACCCGTGGGTAACGGTGGAAACAGGCCAGACTTTTGCCTAAACAGGCCGGGCCTGTTTTAGAAAGTATAGGCCTGAGCCTGACTTGTTACCTGTTTAAGGCTTGTTGTTTCGGCCTGAGCCTGGTCTGTTTAAAAACCCGGACTGGCCCGGAGCCTGTTTAGTAGGCCTGTTAAGAAAAAATTAAAACTTTAAAAAAATTAAAAATTGAATGTGACAAATTCTGTTAGCCTAACATAAAATTTAGTCTTTACATAATTACTAAAAAAATAATAGTACATTGGTTTTGCTTTGAATGTCTAGTAATACGTGACTAATGTAATTTATAAATTTTTATGTATTTCAAATCTTGAAAAGTTTTGAATTCAATTGCCATAATAACCTATTAACACACTTTATATATTTAAAATAGTTTTTTTTATTTAAAATACACTCCATAAAAGCACTTTAATACCCAACTTGCTATAGTTAAATTAAATATATATAATACAAATAGAAATATAAAGAATAAAAATAAATTAAAATGTAACTAAATAAATAAATAAATATATATATATATATATATATATATATATATACATATAAGTAGGCCGACTTGCTTAGCTAAAAAGGCCTCGGGTTTGGGCTAAGCCTGACCTATTTCGACAAACGGGCTTTTTGAAAAGCCTAAGCCTGGTATGATTTTTAATTATAACGGGCATTTTGTTGCCCCTTCAATTGCTGCGGTTCCAGACCGCAACAATTAAGTTAAAACAACCGCAAAAATTAAGCTTTTTTTCTAGTAGTGTAAACAGGCCAGGCCAGGCCTTAAACATGCCAGGCTGCAGGCCCCTGACAGGCCGGCTGGCCTATTTCCACCCCTACCCGTGGGAATAGTGGCAAGGGCAGGTGTAGATGAACCAGTGAACTGAGGGCATGTAAGAGCAGAGTGACCTGGCGAGAAACAAATTTGGCAAACAACTGGATGTGGAGGATTGGGAAAATTATGGTCCACAGATGGAAACCCTGCACTAACACTATTAGAACCGCAAGTAGATAAATGATTAAAGTATGAATAACCAGACGAGAAATTACTTAAAAGTGCGCCTGGATTTCCATTCTGAAATGCTCCTTTTAAATTGAAAGAAATTTAAAAGATCATGGATTGCAAAAGTTTAGACATATTCAATGTAGTCTTTTAAAAATCTAAAAAGTGTAGATGTATTCAATTATAACTTTTAAAAGTCTAAAAAAGACTAATTATCTGGATTAGTGGTAGAATTTTAGAAGTCCGTGGAATTCAAAAGTTTAGGCGTATTGAATATGGACTTTTAAAAGTCTATAAAAATCTAGAGGTATTTAATTAGGATTTTAAAAAGTCAATAACAAATCCATCAAAGTTTAGGTGTATTGGATACGGATTTTTAAAAATGAATACAAGTCCGGGTGTATTGAAAAAAATTATGAAGCCCATGGACTTGAGTAATCGTTCATTTTGGTGGATTTTACAACCCTTCGTATAAATAGTCTTTCTCAGTTATTTTCTATCTCCCACCACAAGATTTTGACGATACTTTCCCCCTCACCGTCTTCCTTCTCAACACAACCCAGAGCAGCGCAAGTTGCCCTTCTTCCAGGTTTTCGTTCTTCCAGGTTACTCTCCCACGTTTTCTGTCATCCTTCAGGCGCCATCTTTATCATTCTTCTAGTATTTCACAAATTGATTTATGTGTTCATGATTCCGTGTTTACGGTTCCTCTCCTCTCTGTATGTGATCATTGTTATATACTAGTGTGAGATTGTTAAAACTATCTTTTTAAATAATATATATGGTATTTGTTGTCAGGCTATAAGTAACAAGGAAAAGTAAGCTACAGAGTACACTCGATGGTCATGTATTCGTATTAGTCGGACCAAAATGCCTATTGTCCTCCCTTGTACCTAGGGAAAGAGATATATCTTTTACTAAACCCTAAAGACTTACCAGGGGCATAAGTAGCAACAAGCAACAATAGCTACACTGGGACAAAACTCACAAAAACATCCAAACCCGCTTCACTGCTAGACCCGTCAAATTACTAGAATAGTGAACCCTTCTCGGTTCGTATATGTGTGTTTACTATTTTGTGAACCTTTCTTGGTTCAGATTGTTTATATAAATTAATTTAACATACTCCAGTAACTTCTTATTTGCTTAGTGCAGCATATTTAAATTACTAAGAGCTCAACGAGTAATGCAATCATTACATAAGAACATATGCTGAATTTTGGTTTAACCAGTGAGCATAAGCTGACTGGTTTTTCTTGAAATATAGGATTCGTTTGGTAGCTGAACACATATGAGTGTAGCTTGTTCTTTTCACCAAAAAGAATAAGTAGGTTGTGAACATTTGATTTTATTAAATTATTTAGTTTTTTTATTAATGGGTTTGCTAGGTTTCCACCCAAATTACATCTTTTTACATTTTTTATGTTTATTAGTTTTTACTCGTATTTTTACTTGTTTTAAGATTTAATGTATTCTGTTCACTTGTTTTACCAATTTTTTTATTGATTTTTATAGGATGTGTACTTGTTTTACTAGTTTTTTTTACTCTATTTTTTAATGGTTGATGCATTTTTTTATTACAGTTTTTACTGATTTTGAGATGTTTTTTATTGGATTTTAGTGGGGGCTTTAAAACTCTTGCAGATTGTTTTCCTTACTGCTTGTTTTTTTACCAATTTGAATTTATATAAATTGAGCATCGTGTTTTCCTTCTTTGACTGTTTTACATAACCATATAGATGGGAGATTCACAAGCTAATTGCAAACGGAAGGATTATAAGACTTGGACTATTGAAGAAAGCAACTTTTTGCTTGAACTTATGGTCAAAGGTGCTAAATTTGGATGGCGTGATATTAATGGTGTTATAAGCAAACTCTAGGTAGAGACAAGACTTCTACCTAACCTTAAGGAAAAACTTGGTTATGAAATAACCTATAATCAGTACCAAAGCAAAGTAAAGCGGTTTAAAAAACAATATTCTAATTACTCTCAACTTATGCGTCATAATTCTGGATTTGGATGGGATCCAATCACAAAGAAATTCACAGCCTCAGAAGAAGTGTGGTCTGATTATTTAAAGGTTAGCTGGGTTTTTTCCATTCATATCATTCATAAAACTTCTTAAATGGTTATCACCATTATCACATTTGTGTCATTTTTATATCAGTCAAATCCATTACATGGACACCTTCGATCAGATGCATTTCCGGACTATGATGACTTGAGGATTGCGGTAGAAAACGGAACAGCCACAGGATTGGGCTCGATTGGTTTCGGTGAAGCCAACACGGAGGCTACAATATTAGGAGCACAAGAAGATGACATTGATGGCATAGAGGGGCTATCTTTTGATCCAGATACCAACACTTTTGTACAAAGTGAAAATATGTCATCACCCCAAAATACCTCCCCATTCTTCTCAAGACATCCAGATCAACGTACAAATGTAGGGAATCCCTCTTCATCAAATAAAGCACATGGAAAGAGGAGTAGGGCTGAATTTGAAACTAATAATAACGTAAAGGGAACTAATGGTCAAGATGCAGTTCTAGAGAACTTGTCAAGTGGATTTGGTAAAATTGTTCAAAGCTTTGATAAAATTTGTTATTTAATGGAGAAGAGAGAAGCAAGGGACAATGATCTTTTGGATGTTATGAAAGAGACCCCTGGATTAACAGACGAGGATTGCTTTAAAGCTCTTGATTTGCTGAATACGAAAGCAAAGCAAGATTTCTTTTTAAGGATGACTCCCGAACAACGCTATCACTAGATCACCAATCTTTAAGCAACTTCATTAGATTTGTCCTCTAGAGATATCTATTAATAAATAGGTCATGGTTGCGTATTTACTTTATCTATTGTTGGAGTGATTTAATTTTATTCGGATTGCAACGTGATATGGATTATTTGAACTATTTTATGTATTATGTGTTAGAATACTTTTGTTTCAAAATATCATAGTTCACTTTTTAAAGTTTATGTCTTTTTTCTTCTTTTAGCAATGTGTGAAACAGATATATATGGAGCAGATGAAGATGAGGTTGAGTTCTCTGGGACTCTTAAGATATTGCTACTGGCAATAGAAGCAGTAACTTACTTGATATACAATCTCGCTTCAAGAATTAATGATGAACCTATTCCATGCCCATTGACTCGCCGACCTGTGACGGCTAATGGGATTAGATATATGGATGAAATAATGGCCGACGATCCTAAAACATTTAGAGATGTATACAGAATGTATCCTAACATTTTTCAAAAATTATGTTGTATCCTAAGAAACAAAACGCCTTTAAGAGATACAAGATATATTTGTGTTGAAGAAATGGTGGCAACATTTTTTCTTATTATTGGCCAAAATAACCGCTATAGTCAACCAAGAATGATATTTAAGCGGTCACACTTCACCATTAGCAGAAGCTTCAACAAAGTATTGAAAGCGTTGAATACAATAGCTCCCGAGTTTATGGCCAAACCGGAATCTGTACCACATGTCATCAGAGAGAGTACACGGTTTTATCCTCATTTCAAGGTGAGTGATGCAAAACTTTATTGATGATTAAGGATGATTAATTAATTTTTTTTGGGTGTTTTTTTCTTTACTTAATGCACTTCACCAATTTTACATGATCAATGATGATTAATTATTATTTTTGGTACTTTTTCTTTTCCTAATGCTAGGATTGCATCAGAGCAATAGATGGCACTCATATTCCAGCAATCGTAACTGGACGAGAAGTGAACAGCTATCGAAATCTTCATGGGACTATATCTCAAAATGTACTAGCTGCTTGCAACTTTGATTTGCAATTCATATATGTGCTTAGCGGTTGGGAAGGTTCTGCCCATGATTCAAAAGTGTTAAATGATGCAATTTCAAGACCAAATGGTCTTAAAGTGCCACCAGGTACACTTTAACATGTTTATCCAAATCTCTGTTACCAAATATTTATTGCATTGTATAATAGACTGATTGTGTAATAATTCAATGCCTAGGAAAATATTATTTGGGGGATTGTGGATTTGCAAATCGGTGTCAATTTTTAGCTCCATTTCGAGGTACTCGGTATGATCTAAAGGATTTTGGTGGTCAAGGAAATCACCCTGTCAATGCGGTTGAACTATTCAATCTTCGTCATGCTTCTCTAAGAAATGTGATTGAACGGATATTTGGAATATTCAAGTCACGCTTCACAATCTTCAAAACAGCACCTCCTTTCTCTTATAAAACACAAGCAGAATTAGTTTTGGCATGTGCATGAGTGCATAATTTTCTTCGACGTGAATGTCGATCTGACGAATTTCCTCCGGATCCAGAAGAAGACCCACCTAGCAATGATGATGATGATGACAATCTTGAATGGGACAATTTTCTGACACAAGATCAACAGAGGGAAAAGGCCAATGAATGGAGGATGAATCTTGCTACTCAAATGTGGGCAGCTGCAGAAAATGAATAATTTTGATCCATAGTTCAGTAGCACAAGACGTTTGTTCCCATTTTTTGCATTGACGACATTATTTTTTTCTTACTTTTTTTTAATGCTTATGCTTGACCTCATTCAGAATAGAGAACGTTAGCTATTATATTTATCATTTTTATGTAGATATTCTTATTTATTAAAGTCTGATTTGCTTTGTTAAAGTCTGGTCTGAAATAAGTCCAAGTAAAAGTCTATGGATTTATTAGAATCCATAGAAGTCATTCATTTAAAAGTCCACGACTTTAAAGGTTCACGGATTTAAAAGTCATTCATTTAAAAGTCTATGGATTTAAAAGTCCATGAACTTTTTTAGAAATCCACGGATAAAAAAATATCCTCCACAATCCTGATACAATACATCCCCCCTAAGTGTATTTAAACTTTCATTCATTCATTTTTATGGACTTCTAAAATTACACATTCTCGTGGACCTTTAACTCATTCTTAGTACGGATGGGCCGAAATGCCCCTAGCTGCCCGGGCTCCGTACTGGATAACATCTTGGGCTACTGAACAGTAATAGGCCGGGATAATATATCCCAACAAGGTTATTGTAACTTTAGGTCTATAAATACTTTTTGTACTTACTCTAAATGGGATCCGCCTCCTGAATAATAAAACTGTCTTACACTGCCTAAATTACTCTGCTCTCGTAGATTAGCTTTGTAGTTGGAATTAAACTCCATCATCCAGTGCTCTTGTTGAGAGCTCGATTTACTACGAGAACAGTGGTTGGATCGCACAGTCACAACCGTGGTGGTGGTAACCAAGGCGATGTTAGAATGAACCTGGTTGTGATCGAGGACGAAGGATCTCGTTCACGACGAAGTGATTTCCGAAGGAGGAATGATAATGTATTAACCCCAGACGATTTGAGGAATCGTCTGCATGGCGTGGGGAGTTCCAGGAACCACCTTAGCCGCAAGACTGACCAATCGGGATGTCATCTTATCACCCTCTGCAGAGAATAACAAATTACAGTTAAAATGAAATGCATAACACGCCTCATGACAAACTAGGGACCCGGCATAACCGACCTTGAGTATATTCATGAACAACCACCATTTTCTCAGCTATATAATGGCCCATCACAAAGGGTGCGTCATTAGCAAAGAGCTTGGTGGACAGTTCGTTCCCATATGGCAAGATCAGCATAACCCATCTCCAGATCAATTCCCCCACTTGTTCAAGAACGAAACCCTGCCAGCTGTTGGGGTGACCCAGACCCACTTATATCGCCAACCCTTGAAAGAGTCCTGATAAAATTTGATAGCGAACAAGCGGTGGCCTACCCGCTGGGAGATGGAAAAGAAGCCCTGAGTGTCAGAAGCGCTAGATCTCACAAAGTGAAAGAAGGTGAGGAACAAGTCCATATAAGGCCTAATCCGTAAGGAGATACATCGGGCAATAAACTCAGCTATATATGAATAAATGTGTGGTGGGGGTAAGTTGACCCGGAATGATCCCATACTGACGCAAGATGTCTAGGAGGGCAGGATGAAGAGGGAAGTGAAGGCTCACTTCAAGACTAACAAGATGAACCCCGAAATGAAGAGACGTAGGGGGTTCTACGATGTTCTGCCCCAGGGTAGGGCGAGAACTGGTGACGGACGGACCGGCGAGGCGGGCCGCCTCCTCGAATCCGGCGTCCGAAATAGCGACCACCGAGACCCTGCGAGCGAAATTAGCGGATAAATAAAAATAGGTCATCTCAACACTCCTAGAGTCGACCGGAATCTGGGGTCGGTTGGAACCTGACCCCTCGTCGTCAAGGAAGACGGTGCAGAATGGAAAAGGATAAAGAAGATTCATGGAACGAACGGCGGGAGTGCTAGACCGTCTAGGGTTTGCAAGTCGGAGACTCGAAAGGCTTATACGAAGAGAACTTTGCGGAAGGTTTCTTCAAAAGGGATATGTACCTTTTATATCCAGACGTGATACTGTCACGCCCCGGACCTACCCGGACACGTCAACAATCCGCCGTACAGTATGAATAGTCAACCGCAGTCTAACACATCCGTACTATACAAGGCGTCTGGAATATCATTCACACATAGTACATCCATAAACAAACATAATGTAAAATATTCATTAAAGCAGCGGAAACAATATTACAAGTGTTCAAGCCACACTTGGCAAACTTGGGCATACAAGCCCTAAATAATTTATTAGAAAATATTATCCATGAGCATCATTGTAATTGTTTTGAAAACAGAACGGAGGAAGCACGAACCACGTCTTCTCTCCAAGAACTCCCGAAGCAACGGGTACAGGAAGCAAGCTCTAGCTTCTACCTGAAAGCTGTGAGGTGGCCTCCCCCGTGAAGGGGAGGTCAGTACTTTGAAGCATTTGAAAAGTACAATGACAACTATACTGCATATAATTAATGTTTCAATCCTTAAGACCCTCAACATAGGTGTTATCATAATACTAGGAAATAACCCATAGTTACCCCTTTCAAATCATACATAAGTATATATCGTCAAATAGTCGGCCCATAGGCCCATTTGTATTTTGTCAAAACCCTTTTGCATCGCCATGCGATATTTTATTTCCCCGTTTGTATTTAATAATACAATTCAAATCGCTCTGTGATAATTCAAAATATAATCTGTATCGCCCTGCGATAATTTAAAAATACAATTTGTATCGCCCTGCGATAATTCAAAAATACAATTTGTATCGCCCTGCGATAATTTGAAAATACAATTTGTATCGCCCTGCGATAATTCGTATTGCCCTGCAATAATTCATACAGGACCTGTCACCGCTATCCAAGTCTCCATGGAGCACTCGGTCGGAGTCCAGCATCCTGCCCCTGGACTCATACCCTGTTCCCGTAGGAAGGTAAGGCCCATTCGGGGTCCTATCTTATGTGTTACCGCTGTCAAAGCCTCGCAAGGTCTTTGATTCGGATTCCACC